TTCGCAAATTTAATAAACTCAAAAATGGTCGGCGTCTTCCTACAACTACAATTATGAAGATACAATTGTTTTATTAATAAAATGTGTTCATCAAAAACAGATCTTCAAATAATGGCGTGTTCAATTTTTCAAAAACACGAGTATTTATTACAAAAATTTTGAGTCAACCAAAGGCAATTTTCATTTTCTTTAAACCATTTTTTCTTAAAAACAGCAATTTTTTTATTAAATTGGGAATTTAGATATCATAAAGGACTCTTAAAATTAGTGCAGGTTTCATGTTCGTTAAAATGCCTGACTTTTCGAAAATTTTAAAAAATTAAAATATTTTCGGCATTTTCCTACAACTACAATTCTGAAGATACATTTTTTCTTAATGAAATGTGTTCATAACAAACTTGAAATAAGATAATTTTGGATTTTTTGAAAATATGAGTATTTTTTGTATAATTTCGTGACAAAGATAAAAGCCCGCTCCCATATTGACTGCGCCTCGTTTACGTAATAGAGGTAATTCCAGCAGGATGCTTCGCAAGTTAGAATTTGTGTATTATTTCATATTTATTGGTTCGTTTCTTACATTCGAGCTTTTGTCATACGTTTACAAATTAATATTTTATAATTAATTTAAAACCTATTTTATACTGCATTCTTTAATTGAGTTAAAAGTGAAAAGGAATAGATTATTTCGCTTTGCATAATAATATGAGGGAATGACGAGTAATGCGCGTAAAATCCAAGTAGTTTTGGTGAGTATAACAATATTATATTTAATTAATATATTTTTATTTTCATTTTCTTGCAAGGGGTATCACCAATGCTAATTTGCATATTGTATCCAACGAATTAGCGGACATTGTTGCGCGTCGCAACACATTGTTGTAACCCCTCTCAACCCTCTGTAACCTAGCTTTTCATAAAGCTAAATCATGTTGCAAGAATGAGACGTAATTCACCAAAATTCAGCTGTCGTCTCGTGGGACAGAATGCTATTATTGTATTCCAATCTAATATTCCCTCATAACTAGAAATTATTACATTCACATATTACATTTAAATCGTATTTTTAAGAGAGAATACAAAATTGAGATAATTTTAATTAAGGTTTGCGGATTGCTTGGAAGAAAATACATCAATACGTTGAAAATGTAAATACATTTCTCGCGTGACGGACAAAAAATATGGATTATGAGATAGGTTTTAAATAATTTCTAAAAGATTAATTTGTAAATATGTAACAAAAGCTCGAATGTAAGAAACGAACAAAGACATGTGAAATAATATTCAAATTCTAACTTCTGCCTCCAAACACTTCTCAAATTACGTTCACGAAATGCAGGCAATTCCAAGCGGGTGACTTGTGTTTGAGGCCAAATTATACAAAAAAATTACATATTCATATTTTCGAAAAATTTAACATGACATTATATCGGGATGTTTTTTATGAACACGTTTCATTAAGAATAAAATGTTTATATTCATAATTGTAGTTGTAGGAAGACGCCGAAAAACGTTTTTGCAATTTTCAAAACTCAGAATTTTCCACGATCACGAGACTTACACCATTCTCTCAAGCGCAAGGTCAAAATTTGTGGTGCCCTTCTTGAGAAAAAAATTGTTTAAACAAAATTAAAAATTACCTATATTTCACGCAAAAAGTACTCAAATTTTCAAAAAAATTGTACATGGTTAAATTCAAAATCTAAGGGAGAGATTTCATTGATACGAAAAATATCTATTTTTAATATTTTAGTTGTAGGATGACTTCGAAAAAAATTTGAACTTTTGCAATTTTCGAAAAAAACAGGGTTTTTAACCAACATGAGACCTGTACCATTCTCCTAAAAGTTCTTCACATTATCCAATAACAAAATTTATTTTAAAAAAACTTGGGAGCCTTTTTTTATTTTGAAAATGTCCTAGGAGTTTCATGTAAAGTACCCTCCAAATTTTAAATTTTGGTTTCAAATTCAAGGGGCTGTGACATCAATCAGATCGATGGAGGAATATCTATTTTGGAGAAAATCGGCTGAACGCTACTGTTGTTCACAGACAGACCGATAGACATTTTGCCGTCAATCGCTTTTTCGATATGAAGGACCCACAAAACATGAAGTCTGGCTACACCACGTGTTGGAAGTTTTTTTCTTAATATAGCAACTGGATTTATCCACATTTTTTGTTACCAGAGCCTGGCAATAATAGTTTTTCTGCCGAAAATTTGCCGCTTTCTCCCGCAGCTTTACAAAACTTTCTCTCTACTGCATAAGCTGTAACGCGAAAGCAAAAACGACTCAGAACTTTTTGTACGGAAAGTGAACTTTATAAAATGACATAAAAGTCATTTTGTTGCATTCTTATATTTAAAAAATACACAAATGTATTTTTAAAATATTTCTCACATTGTTTACATGCACGTTCTCAGTGATTTGTAAACAATATTGCATTTGTTAGTGGAAGTGCTTCAAATTAAGTCTTTCGAAAACTCAAAATTTTTCGGTGGATAAGAACCTCAAACGGCTACAAATTTTGAACAAAAATTTCACTACAGAACGAGGTTTTACCCTTTAATTTTCTTCTAGTAATATTTCAATTCTACCATTAAGAAAGAAAAAAATCGAGTAATTAATTTAAAAAAAAAATACTTTGGGTGGCGATAGATGGCAGCTGGCAAGACCGAATAGCAAGTCCAGATCAATGAAATTAGAAAACTAATTAATAAGAGAAAGTCTGTGCAATTTGTAGTATCACTAGTTATATCTTATTTTCATAATTTATTAATATACTTCAGTCTTGGCACAATATTTTTTGCCAATTTTCATATTTCTAAATGTGACATTTTCTGAATCCCACAAATTAATTAGCTCTTATGTTATGAAAATTCTATTTAATGATATTCATGCTTAATGCAAATATTAGTAAGAAACTAAATAAAAGTTTTAAGCAAGTCCTAAAAGGAATATCAAATGGATGACCATGGTGAAAATAACAATTCAATGCCTGTTTACCCAAGTGTAGAAAACATGGCTAGCACAGAAGAAATGAACTACATTATAAGAAACTTAGAACTGTGATGTTCTAACTTCAGTAGTTGGTATTATGCATTTGTTCAGTTCCACCATAGTTATTAGCTATTAACAGTTATTTATCAAAATACTTCTGATTCATACAGAACATTTTTCATAATTTGTTCAAATTATATTAACATTAGTTGAATATTAAAAGATTTAAGTTTACTAAAAGAAAAATTTAAGATTAAAACTACACATTTAAAAAAAATCTTATAAGTATTATCAAAATAGTGAGCAGAATTAAAACACAGGTATAAATGAATCCTAACTAGTGTGTTATGTCTTTGAGTTGAATAGTTTAGTAACATAAGTAAAAAAAAAGGAATGTGGAGACAAATTATTTCCCCAACTCCAAAATTGTATCTGGGTGTAAATTATGAAGTCTCCAAATTTGTTATTTTGCTATTTGTTTAGAGTACAATACTTTACTTAGTACAATACTCATGGGTACTTTTAATTAAGTTTCTAGGGGGAAGAGAGTATGCCTAGCGAGGGAAGACTCAAAAACAATTATTTCCAGCTATATTTTTTAGTATCAATAACTACAATGTTATTTGAAGATTAATGAATATAATGTACTAAAAAAAATCATTTTTCTGCGGGAAACCTGTGTGATACATATGGAAATCTGTCTCCTGAATTAGTACACTATATAAACAGTTTCTTTCTATCAGGCACAGTTTTTAAGTTACAGATAATTATTTTTTTCCCCTCACACAGTGCCCCTTTACAGGGAAAACATCAAACAATTAATATCCTACATTTTTTTCAAAATTGTAAAGGATCAATTCAATCTGAAAAAAATTAAAAGCAAGTATAGAACTTCAAAATGCAATATATTGAATGAAAAAAACAATTATTTACAAATTGAAATCATCCCTCCCCTGAGAATTAAGAAAGCTTATTATTTTCTCCTATAATCACATTTGCACTCTCAATAAGTTCCAGCAGTAGTCTGCAAGCATTGAAGGCATGAATTTTCTTTCATATTGCTTGTCCATGGTCATTATGTCATTATGAAATCTTTCACCGTGTTCATCGGAAACATCACTGCAGTTCTCAGGAAAATAATGCAAATATGAATCACGAAAATGCACTTTTAAGTGTGTTGCATCCTAAATCCCTACACACATTTTTTCTTTTGGTGTCGGGCATTGTTTAAAATTTGTATCTTTCAGAAGTTCTCTAATTTGGGTACCCATAAACATACCTTCCTTTATTTTTTGCAGCTGTAAGACCAGAAATTGTTTTTGTGAAAGAGAAATCCTCTTCTAGAAGTATTCAAGGTTTTGACAAAATGTTTCATTACATCCAGCTTAATGTGAAGTGGATGCAGGACATCATCACTGGCTACAATTTAATTTTCTGAATATTTATTCCTCCACTTTTCATTTTCACTGAGGCCAAATTTTTCTTTTGTGATGGGAATTTCAGACACAGCTACCTCACTCACATGAAAAGAATCTTCTCGTAAATTGATGTAGCCATGTTGCAGTCCCAATTAAATACTGCAACTGAAAGTTTAATAAGTCAAAAACTGTGCCTGATAGCAAACTTCTAATCCCATACTTGCATACCTCATCCAAAAAACCTTTACAAACGTTTTGGCTTATAAGAAAATAGACCCTTGTAGAATAGTATTAATTAGGGATACCTTGATTGTCTATCAACCTATAAGAAAATCCAACTACACCAAGAAATATTTTACTCACAATTTAATTACAATTTTGAGTTCTATTTTTAAAGAACAAAATGGAATCCATACAAATGATTTTCAGAAAGCAAAACCAAATAACTCCAAAATGCAATAACTGGAATGTTCACAAAATACATCACTGTCCATTTTGTTAAATTATGATGATTTTTGATTCCTGATAGTGATTATGATTTTTGGAAATTAAATTTCTCTAATGACCACATTAATGCAATTTCAATTTTACCTATTTTTGCCCTCAATATATTGTAGAGCAAAATATCAATATATTAACATACACGTGTACTCAAATGGATAATGAGGATGGGAATGGATTTGAGAAAAGTTGATTACAGGGGACAAAAAAATAAATTAAACTGACAACAGATTTATTGATTTTAACAATTCCATTCCACCATGATTTCTATATTCACAGAAATCACTGCTAGACCAACTTCAACTACAACTAAGGTACTTACTCATAAAACAAGAAACTTACAAAGTATCTCCACACAAATGTCAATTTAGATTGTGGGTTACAGTGGATAAACAGCTGAAGGCAATTAACAAGGAAACAAACATTTCATTAGCACACAGACTGGGCAAAATTAAAAAATAGCATATTAAGATTAAAATAAATTTCCTCAAAATAAGAATCCATTTACAAATAAAATTCAACCTGATGAGGAATGACAAAAATTTAAGGTTATTAATAGCCATGCTATGACTGAGGAACACCAAAGTGATGCAGGAAGGAAATTCAACCACAAACTGCCATAAGTGATTTTAATCAAATTTATCAATAATGTACCGATAGATTATTAAAAAGACACCATTCACCATTCGGATCTGAGCATCAATACAGCAAAAATATAAAAGAAAATCGTAACATTGGCGCTGACATTTTAAACTGTGAAATTAAATATGTCCAAGCTGAGTAACTTATTTAACATTTGACAGTCAGCAATGTACTCTCAATCCCATGCTCAACTTAGTTCATCCACAGCAACGTACACGCTTCAGTGATTCTCAACTGCAATCAAATTAATAGAAATGAGGAATCATCACAGAGTTAAACGAATCATGAAACTAATTACCTTCAAAATAAGACAATAGAAAAACTTCATTTATTGTTGGATTGATTGGGAATCACTCATTTACACTGCAATCCTACACTAAATTTTTTTGTTTGAAAATTAAACATTAAAAAAATGTAAGTACAAATGCCAGAATTATTAATAATATTTAGACAACACTTATTTTACTAATACAGAAAGATACAAGATTAATAATTTTAAACATCCTAATCCTCTTAGGGCTTGTACGAACGAGGAAGAGGATATTCCGTAAGGCATCACGAAAAACAAAAAAATAAGGTGTGATCGTTATGTCACATTGATAAATACTCTATTTCCCAGCAGTTTTGAAGAAAGATGATTGATCATTGCTGAATGATGAAAATTAATACTTGAAGTTAGACAACTTTGAGGCAATAATAGAGGGTTTTTTTTTCTCATTGTTTAAAAACTGAACAAAAGTAGGATTGCTTGTGCAAATGGAAAAAGCATGAAAAAACAACTTAGGGCTTCAAAGTCCACAATTAACAAGAGCTATCGTATTTTAAATTACACTGTTTAGCAGTGTGATCATCTTAGAGGTGAACAATTGTAGATGTGAGGATTTAGTCATTCTCTACCAGATTCAATTTTTTCTTGAAGATACACAGATTATACTTTTACACAAACCGCATGTAAATGCTACATTTAGAACACATCCCTACATGGAAGCAAATTTTAGGAAAAGGGGAGGTGGCAGAAGAACACAGGATAGCAAGGAAAACTTAAGATTTCTTACTTGAGGACTCAAACATACAAATAAAAAAATTATTTTAAATAATTCTTGCCAATAGGATATTCAGAGGAAATAAGTGTTAAACTCAAGAGATGGCACCAGAAAGAAAACAATGAGAGGCTTAATGTGATGACCATGTATTTCTACATACAAGTCCAAACTTACAAAAGTATTCTATAATATGAATCAGTCTAAGATGGAGTTTATTGTTTAGTGCTTGCTATCAATGTCCCTGACACGTTCCTTATGGCGCTGAATTGCTTCTTGATGACGTTTTATTTGCTCTTCGTGAAAACTGATTTCATCATTCAGATCCTGTTTTAACTTGTTCAATTGCTCCTTTTGCTAAATAAATAAAACATTGTTTACACACAAAATAATTCACATCCACCTTGAAATAAAAACGCCAAGTTAAACATATACCTTCTTATAAAAATATTCTTCTTCACGTGCAGCTCCCATTTCGCCAAAAGCACCACCTGCTTCTCTGATTGAGCCACCAGCACCTCCACCCTTTCCAGCACCACTGCCCATATCACCAAGTTGTGAATATGGTCTAAACCTATAAAAAAAAAAATAATAATAATAATAATAAAAAACACTGTTTTAGAAAATAGCAAGTAAAACACTTCTACACCATTAAATGAAATATATCAGTACATTTCATCGACAATAATTGTTCCATTGAAGACAAAAGGAGTCATTATGGCATATTCAAAGCAATAAGATACTAGATGGCAAGGCAATACACACACTAAACTAAGCATTGCATCAGAATAAAACGTTATAAGTGCGCTGTATATAATTTAATGTAAAAACAGTACACATACTAATTTACGAAAATATGAAATTGACAAATTATACAATCTCTCCGTTTAGATCTGAAAATTAAATCGAAAAATTTCATTTTTCTACGTTTTATCGTAATGCAAGTCACTTTTATAGCAATTACGTAAAACACAAAGTTTTAAAAGCCAGGAGTTTTTTATACCCGTAATTTGACATATTCCAGCACAGCCGACTTGAGATGGAGCGAATAGAATTCATTTTTGACCACGCTCCCACAGCCAAGGTTAGGAGAATTTATCGAGAGGAGAGGAGAACTGTGAGAGAACCGGAGAGAACTACCCTCCCCTTTCCCTGAAGGAAGTGTTCAGATCAACATAACATCAATAATTACATAACAGATGGTTGTTATAATGCAATGAAAGTTTCAGAAGTGTGTAAACATTTAAAGGAAATTTTATTGATGTATCAATAATTTTTTTTAACCGTTTAACCGAACGCTTAACTTCCTTCAGATTCTCCATTACCACATCTGTCCATTTACTAAGCGTACTTCCTGTGTTTCGGTCGCGGGAATTTAAAAAAAAAAGATAATTCAAATATTAAGTGTCGGAGATGTAATTAAAAATCGAGACCAATTCTAAGGAATACTCTAAGAAATATATGTAAACAAATTCTTCGTGAGAAATTAAGTATATCCACTGTGTAGTAATACAGACAGGTGTGGTTCTTTTTTTTCCTACAATTTTCCTTCATTTGTTGTTTTAGAATTTGAAAAGTCTAAAAGGATCTAACCACAATTATAAAATAATTAATAAACCAATTGACTATTTTTTAACTTTACAATCAATTAATAATTTGAGATTCTTTGAAATCAATATACCTGTTGTTGATAGTTAAGAAGTTCATTATTTTTGTTGAAGATAAAAAGTTCAATATTGTATTACATAATATTAATGGAACTTCCATTTTGCAAAGTAATTGTGAATTTAATAAGAGAGGAACATATCTTAATTCTGTCAAGAGATTGAATTATGGAAAGGTACGAAAAACTAAATTTTATTACATTTAATAGAAATATTTTCAGTTTTCCTGTAAGGCTGTTATTACAATGTCACATTAATGACACATATAAGTATGTTATTTAATAATATAATAATTTAATAATATAATAATTAATATAAGTAACTTATTTTTAACCCTAAGATAATTGTTTGTCTGCAGGCAAAACATCTGTGAATAACATTGAAATCTCTATCAATAAAAAATGAAGATAAAAAAGCAGAAAAATCAAATATATTTCACATAATATTTATAAGTAATGTATATGTGTAAGTAATATGTACAAGTAATATTTACAAGTATCAAAATATTATAGTTGCCCCTCCAAAACTAATTACGCGCACATTTTTATGAAAATGATTTAAAGATCTATAAGCTTAAACGAGCAAGAAAGTACTTTAGGAAGAAAGTGTTAGTACCTTGATTACAAGAAATGTAGTGGTGAATTAACAAATGCAATGCAAAGTAAAATAATTACCAGTATTTGAAAGTGTTTTATCTCACTCTTGTAAAATGACATTCACTTCACATGGCTGTTTTTATAGGCGCATTGATGGTATAACACAGATATAAGATGCACCATAATTTTAAATGAATTTTTTAATAAAAAATAGGTATTGGAAATGTGGCTAAATTCATTTTTAAGAAACTGTACATGTTAACCCTCAAACTTATAACTTATTTCTGTAGGAACACAAACAAGTGATGTGACATAGAAAATTGTGAACATTTAGAGACAAATAGCAGTAGTATTCCATTTTCAAATTTAAATTTAAAACAAATATTTGTCTAACATACAAGTAGAATTTCAGTCATAAATGTTAGGAAAAGTGTGTGTGTGTGTGTGTGTGTGTGTGTGTGTGTGTGTGTGTGTGTGTGTGTGTGTAAAATTATTAAAGTGTGTGTGTGTGTGTGTAAAAGTGTGTGTAAAATTATTACAAAATATTTCTCTCAATTTTTCATAAAACAATATTTCAGAAAAAATATCTAAGCTATATTTGAATAGTGGTTTAACTTCATTGACACTTATTTTGAGATATTGAGCTATTAAATTTCATTACTAAAAACAACAACAGGGATAAAATCAGAAAAAAGATATTGTGTGCTTTCTTCCTTTAAAAGACATTTACTTGTTTGTCTGCAGATGAGAGGAATAAGCAGACTTTATCTTTCATGGAATATCAGGGAGTTAAGGAATTACACAACCATAAACATAAATGTGGAGGGCCAAATCTGTGGATGCTGTTCTAAGAAAAGATAGAAATGGAAATACTGATATATACTGATTTATTAAAATAGATTAAATATCAATTTAATATTATTGTTTTAAATGTTTATATAAGACACACTCAGTAATCTTCATCTTCTACATGTTGTTCGGATCCTACTCACAAATTAGTGAAATGTACGTGATGGGCACTTGGAATGAATGGGAACAAATGAAGCATATCCTGTTTATCTTGTTCTTTCTTGTCAATAATTTTCCTTTGTAGTGGGTATGGATGGAATATATTTAAGTTTTTGAAAACCTTAATTCTCCTCTTCCATTGGTACATTGAAATTGAAACCCTGTTTTGATTTAAAATTTACTCGAACATCATTATAAAGATTTTCTATTTAACAAATCAAATCCATCTAATGTTTAGTTAGAGACCATTTTTTTCCTTTTTCATCCGTATTCCTATAGACTTTTGAATATCCCAAACACATAGAAACCTTTACGTTTAATTTATGTGTTAAGTACAAAAATTGCAAAATAATTATACTATTGTCTGAATCTATTGTTAAAAGCAAATCTGTGGTACAATCTTTATCATCAATTACACTGTAGATGCTAGAAATCTCTTGAAAACCACTCATCCCAAGACATAAGGGAAACAGGACCCCCCAGGAGCTGCTCCCCCCAGGAGCTGCTCCACTATCAAAATAAATTGATTGCATTCTCCGATGATTCACTTTTATTGTGATGGAGAATGTCACACACAGAAAAAATTTGGAGTTTTACTACTTTCAGAATAAATGTAAAAACTACTTGCGTGGATCTAAAAATGGAATAATTCATTTTTCTTAAAAGGGGAGATGGAGTACAATAAAAATAACACATACAATGGTGTATTATTTACATTATAAAAATTCACTCCACCACATATTAGGAAATTGAATGTTTAAAATTTTTTCAAGACAATTTCCCATGATAAATAAAAATTCACGTTTTCATATACTTAAAACTCAGCACAACCTTGTTTTAAGAGACCACTTTACAACAGAACTTGTAGAAGACAAAATTCTTGGTCTAAAGAACATCTGGATAGAAATAATTTTATGCTTATAAGAGATAAAATTCCACTCCTCCTATGTCTCATAAAATGGTTTTGCATTAGTTGCTGCCATAGTTGTTTTTTGTCCTTTCTTTTGTCCTTGTTAATTAGAACTTAAATGCAGGTAGTTTCAACAAGTCATCATTCCAAATGGATAATTACCTCTGATTCTAAAGAATCACAGAGAAACAAGATGAAAAGGAAAAGAAACTATGGACAGAAAAAGAATGCAAGATCAAATCACTTGCAAACATCCATTCATAAAGAAAAGTTTTTAGTTGGAAGTTCATCTGATTCAGATAACAAAACATCTTGTTTCCCTTTCTTCAGAAAATCAAGATATGGGAATGATTCTAAATCTGTATGTAAAAAACATTCTTAAAATAAAATAAAATTCATAACTTGAAGTAATCTCTCTTCTTTCTTAAAATGAAATAAAATGAATGCTAATGAAATGCTTGGTCACATTTCTCAGAAACCTGGCAACAAACTGACAAATACTCCTAGGGCATTTGAGTGCAGTGACCTAGAACCACATCCATCACTACGCAAAATTTTTACTAACTCTCCCTCATCATCAAGAACTCACAAGGTAATTTTTTACAAAAAGTATTTCCCCTCATACAAACATTTATAAAATTTAATAATTTCTTGTATTAAGGGTCAAGATAAAACTGATTACTACAGTGATGAGGAAGAGGAAGTGGATGAAGAAGATACTGATGTTGAAGAAGATATTGGATCTTATGAACGAGTCAAGCGTGCTATGCAAATCTATGAAGAAAAGAAAGCTTTGAAGAAAAAACTAGAAGCAGAATATGCTTTGTTCCCTCACAAGGTAGGCAAAAATTTCAATAGAGATATATATGTAAAATTTAATGAATTGGCCAGCTCGGGATGTGCAACCCACTGGGACTCAGTCATGTTTATCAAGGGTAGGTGACGTTTATGAGAGGGGCAGGGAACAGCATTTTCATGTTGAATCCATTTTTACACTCAGGATTGTTAGCTCTGGGGGTGAGGTGAAATGATAATGATGATGAAATAGATAATCACAAAGGTATAGAGACACACACAAACACAACCATGCCCTAGGCAGGACTCGAACCTGCAATCCTTCGGTGCAAGACTGCCATGACCCTATTGCCTTATCAATCTCAGCTACCTGGATCAGCTTATGGTCTCAGCTTTTTTTGTTAGGATTTCTTTTTGAAACAAATGGCAACATGAGACTGTATTGCAATTAAAGTATCTTGATTATTGGATTACTTTATGTGAATATAGCCTATTTTGCATAAAACTATGTGTTTAAATATTTTTCACTAAATTATAATTAATAAATCTATTTTGAATGAGTGAAAAGATTTTCACTGACATTAGAGAAAAGAAAGGATATCTATTGACAAAATTACAAAATATTATTAAAAGATAAAATTAGTTTTCAAATTTTATCTTCAATGATTCAATAGATGAATCCTTGATGAGCAATTTAATACCAATTACATAATTAAAACAAGTGATTACTTCTACTTAAATATTAGAATCGTATTTGACATTAATGTTAGCTCTTTTTTTATTTATGATATACATGAATCCCCAACTCAATCACATTTTTCATCGTTTCCCTGAACCCTTGAGCAAATCCTGAGATAGAACTTTCTTTTGCTTCTGGTTATTAAAGTATCTTCGTGCATGGAAACATAGTTGTTCAAATTGTAGTTTTCCATGTTGTCATCTCAGAAGTGTATTCCTTCATGAAGGATATGATGAAGGATAAAAACCCCAATCTATAGCCAATTTTTCATTTGAAAATATATTTTATTACTTAAGATGAAATATTTTGGTAATAATTCTTGTCAAAAACACTCATTTTACTGTATTCAGAATTGAACTTGTATATGGTTTAGGGTAGAGATCACAGAATTAAGAAAACATGCATAGAATATGTGTCCCTGTAGTGTGTCACAAACAGTTTTTAAC